ATCAATTCAGATGTAGAGTCTGATATGTTTTAGGCTTTAAATAAGAATCTACAATGAGTAAGTAAAATGTGTTCAAATGTTTTTGAGGGTTTCTAAAATAAGGCTGTGTTTTAAGTTATATTGTTGTTATCTTGAACTGTGTACTTGAAAGCTACATTGTTAGCTAGTTAGCCTCTCCTCATATAACTTCTTACATTACTTTTGTTTAAGTATATGTATTTATTGGATATTGCATACTGCCATAATGTACAGATGCTAACAGTTGTTTGTATCTTTCTGGCAACTAAGCCAAGATTAAATTCCTTCATCTCAGTAAGGTAACATGTTCACATCATCACAGGGAATCACAAAAACATGATACACATAGCCATCCACACACAAAAGCTCCACTGTCAGGTCCCAGGTTGTGAGTTTGTTGCTAAGTATTTTTCAGAGCTGTGTTTCCACCTATGAATTTATATTAGAAACAATAAAAAAGTTTGTTGTCATGAGATAATTATAACAATAAAAGATTGGATCCTTTGGTTTTTCGGTGTTACCAACTTTATTTTTATTTTTTAAAATTACTTTAAACTTTTTATTAAGATTTGACACAGTTTTTAATTATTTAAAACTTTAAAATTTTAAATAATTATGTTGTGTTTTTTGCTGTTCATTTGCTAATCCACCTTCCTGCAGATTTTAGTTGCTATCCATATCAAACACACCTAAACCAATTAATTAGGACCTGAACACCACTTGATAATTACAGGCAGGTGTGTTTGATATGGGTAGCAACTGAAATCTGCAGGAAGGTAGATATCCAGGAAAAGGATTGAGCACCCCTGCTATATACCATGGGGGTCGAACTCCAAGTTCCTGGAGAACTGCAGGGCAGCAGAGTTTAGTACCCACCCTGCTTCAACATTACCTGTAGATTTCTAACAAGCCTTAATTAGTTTAATCAGGTGTGTTTAATTAAAGTTACAGCTTAAAGTCCCGGTCACACTGCACTTTTCTCCCTATAGACTTCCATTCATACGCATGTGAGTACTGCAGACCTGGAATGATAGCTCATGCAACAAATTTCATAATTCGCAGCATTGGAAAGATCAAGCTTGGAGAACGCTGACATGCGAAATCACATCATGTGATTGCTTGATACCAATCAAAGATCAAAACATGACCTCTCTGGCTTGCTTTTTCAATCTCTAATTATTTTGTTTAATTCCACTACTTGCTTTGTTTAATTCCACTTCGCAGTGCAGTATGACAGAATTTTGCTTGCTCAAATGTTAGTGTGACCGCAGCCTTACTGTGCAGACCTGTAATATGCAAGACAATATTTATATCTGCTGATTTCTTAATTTTGTTATACTTTTTCTGTTATTTATTTGTTTGGTGCCAAAACAATAAAATTTGTCTGAAAAATGTTATGCCTTCTATTTTTAAATAACAGCTAAGAATACTGATTAATTTTAGTAACACTACAATAACTATATATGACATACTATTAATGTATATGCAGTATAATGCTGTGATTTGTAACACTACAATACAGTAATTAACTGTACACAGTTTCCAGTTAGTTACCATTGGTGCTCTATTACAGTAATTAACTGGCAACACTGTTGCCAGCTACTCCCTGTATCGGTTTAGTTACAGTAAATAACTGGCAACACTGTTGCCAGCCACTCACTGTAATGGTTCAGTTACAGTAATTACCTGGCAACACTGTTGCCAGTTACTTACTGTAACCAAACTTTTACAGTGAGTGGCTGGCAACAGTGTTGCAAAACCCGGTAAGGTCTAACAGTGTGGGGTAAGCCACCATCTTGGAGTTCTTGCATGCCCCCACATGATGAAAGAAAGGCTACACTAAACACAAGATGACCTCAGAAAAGAATGCCAAAATCATTGCTGTTTATGACTTCTGGCCCTTGAGGTCACCCATTGCCTAGACAAGGCTAAACAACCTTCCAGGGAGTGGAATGTGCCATCTTCTGACAGACAATGTGACTATCATGCTGAAACTAGACCTAAACAGTGGAAGAGCCACTCAGATGGACCTCCTAGTTGACAAAACTCACCTGAACGTCACCGGGAGAAATTGTAGAACTGGTCAATTCATTTGCCAACCAAAGGGGAACAAGCTTGTTGGAATTCAATGGTACTTCCAAGGTAATATAACACCACCTTGAAACATCCAGCTTAACGCCCGATTCACACAGGGCTTCAGCGTCAGCGCTTGACAGAGGGCGTGTCTGAAGTAAGGGCTGATGCTATCGTCATAGCAGCGTCAACCAATGAAATTTGTATAGAACTGAGTCACTGAGACAACTTCATACTATGACAGACTTGTAGCTGGTAACAGTCTAGATCAGGGGTGCAAAGTTTAGTTCCAACCCCAATTGGACACATCTGCACTAGCTAATCAAGCTTTTACATGGCTTTCTAGAAACATCCTTGCAGGTGTGTTGAGGCAAGTTGGAGCTAAAATCCGAAGGACACTGGCCCTCCAGGGCTGAGTTTGGACACCCCTGGTCTAGATGATCTTTGGTCCGGAGCACATGGCATTCATTCCTCCCCAAAAAATGCCTGCAATACCGATTTATCTACCACAGTGCACGTTTCCACTGTGTGATGGTCCATATCCCAGATGCCTCGGAGCTCAGAGAAGTTAACGGCACCTCTGATCACTGTTATCAAAGGGCTTCCTTTTGGCACAGAACAGTTTTTACTGGCTTTTGTGGATGTAACTACGTATTATGGTACTTGAAAAAAGTTTGCCAAAGTAGCCCTGAGCCCATGTTGTAATATCAATGCATTGCTGCCTGAGGCATCGGAGATCACATTTGTTAAGCTTATGTATGCGCCATTGTCCTTTACACACTGAAATTCCTCCAGATTTCTTAAATCTTTTAATTATGTTATATGTTGAAGGTGAAATATCCAAATGCCTTCCTATCTTTTTTTGAGTAACTGGTTAGGTCTGTTGGCTATTTCCTTTGATTATTGCACTTCTAAATTCAAATAGAACATTTCAGCATGCCTTTACGAATCTGAAGCTTGAAAGTTTTGAAGAAATAAAAAAAATAGAGATAGACATCTCTCATGAATTTAGGTGTTTCTTAAATCATCTTCTTTTCTTTTTTAAGATGATAAACATTTATTTGTTAGAACTGATTTTAGATTATCTCACTTTGAGACAGAACTTTGAGTAATGACCTTTTATAAAGTTTGTCATAGAGAACAAGAGAACAAAGAGAAGGTCCTTATGCAATTCAGAAAATGTTTTTATAATAGAATAATTTTAAAATAGGACTTATTATTCAAATTTATTTAAAAAAATTCATAGAAAAAGTTTACATGTTGACTTATGTCCATGTCACAGTTTAGTTCTTAAACACATAAGTGCAAATTTATGATGTGTCTAGATGTACAGTACAAATCAGTAATCAAAACATTTGTTTTTCGGTAACACTTTACAATATGGTTCATTAGTTAATGCATTTACTGACATGAACTAATCATGAACAACACTTGTACAGCGTTTATTAATCATAATTGAACATTTACTAATGCATTATTAACATTCAAGTCCATGCTCGTTAACATTAGTTAATGTACCATGAGTTAACATGAACTAATAATGAACAACTGTATTTTCATTAACTAACGTTTATTAACATGAATATATACTGTAGTACATGTTTTGTTAAATGTTTGTTCATGTTAGTAAATGCATTACTTAACATTAACTAATGAACCTTATTGTAAAGTGTAACCTGTTTTTCAACTCCATCTAGCATGCAATGGGTAAGCTGAGGGTCAGCAGCCCACAATGGCATGTCATTTCATGTTATTCTGTTACAGATGTCTTGATTTTAAAGAGGTTTTAAAAAGAGAGAGAGAGAAAGGGAGAATCCACTTAGAAACCAGCCTTCACTAATAAGACAGCAGTACTGGATTCTCTGACAGCCAGACAGTGCTAATGACGACCTGTTTTTTTCTATGCCTCCTGTTCTCTTTTATTAACACACACACACATTCACACATGCGCTCTGGCATCATCCTTTCTATTTCCTCAACAGCAGGTCAAAATATGTAGGGCAAAATAAATGAGCAAAGTCTATTCTTATACTGAATATGCACTGACCACTGTGTTCCTCTGCTCTTAAGTTATTTTGTATAGGCCTACTGTATAAGATATTATCAGTGTGTCACAGTGTTGAAGTAGATCAGATGTATTAAAGGTAGATCATATAGCAACAGTGTTTTTATGAGGTCTGCATGACCTGCTTGGTCTTCTCTGTATGTCACTGAAACAGCACAAACGGAGCTGTTGTAAGAAAAATAATTGAATCTAGCAAACAGGTCTCATGTGGTGAGCTGGTCTCATGTGGTGAGCTCTCCATCTGCTGGTCTTTATGAGTTCTGCACAACTGATTTACGTGAATATTGGTTAGCACTGTCACCTCACAGCAAGAAGGTTGCTAGTTCGAGTCCCAGCTGGGTCAGTTGGCATTTCTGTGAGGAGTTTGAATGTTCTTCCTGTGTTTGCCCTGGTTTCCTCCGGGTGCTCTGCCAAAAACATTCAGTATAGGTGAATTAAATAAACTAAATTGGCCATAGTTTATGTGTGTATGGATGTTTCACAGTATTGGGTTGCAAATGGAAGGGCATTTGCTTTGTAAACATATACTAGACAAGTTGGTGGGTCATTCTGCGGTGGCGATCCCTGATGAATAAAGAGACTAAGCCGAAGGAAAATTAGTGAATGAATGTCAGTTGCTATAAAAAAAGTTCAACATATCATGGTAATGTGGTGACAGTAACTCTGACAAGGGTGGTTTAACAACTCTGGGTTTGTAAATACACTGCATTTCACTGTATAAAATGTGTGTAAAAATGCAACTTGAGCTTAAATTATTTTCTTTAATGTATTTTTTAAATGATAAAATATTATTCTAAAATAATTTTCATTTATTCACACTGTTTTTTTCTTGTTCTTTTTGCAGACTGTCTACAAGCCCTGGCTCTGTGCTCAGTATTTCCAGAGCCCTCGGTCAGCCTGCAGTCATAAGATTCCATGTGAGCAGTACTGTCTTGAGGTACAGCAGAGGTGTCCATTCATATTGCCTGACAATGATGACCTCATACACGGTGGCACTCCCAGTTTTATATGTACAGGTTGGTATACAATTATTTGAGAATTCAATTAAAGTGAGAAATTACTTGTACTGAAGATCTGTTGTTCACAGCAGTAGGATCTTGTAGGCTTTTTATTACAGTGTGTAATATAAAATGTATAATAAATTGTAAACATATGACACTGTAAATATTAATTTTTTTAATATTTAAAAACATGTTAACTTTGATAGCTAGGCAGAATTCTTCTATTGCTAATAATTAAATAAAAGTCCACATTTAACTACGCATCTAAACCTTGTGTCAGTAGCTGTGCATGAAAACATTTGGATGCTTGTGAGTGTATTAAATATATAAATGATAAATATAAATAATAATTGTGTATTCATATTTAAATCAATCAAAAAATGCTGCTTTTTGAGTTTTTCCATTTTTTTCATATGAATACTTTCCCTCTGCAGTTTAGTTTTTTAAGTAAATGGTACAATGTATATTGGAGCTTATTGCTCTAACAAATGAGATCAAAATGATAATTTTTGAGCGCAACACTTCAGCACTAGAATATAGTCTGAATATAGTCTGATCATTTCTAAACAGAAGAACCCTTTCAATCCACACAACCTTTCTTCTCAGCATCCCTCACAGTCAGACATACAGCATTCAAAATGTTTGTCAATGGAATGTCTCTATGAGTGATCAAGGCAACATTGCCTCTTTTCTCTTCTTCTTTAAATTGTCAATTACTTAACTCGAACTGTTCTGAATGACAAAAAAAAAAAAAAAACGACAATAAGTGAGATTGTTTGGAGCCTGTTAGTATTGAGTAGATCAGTATTGAGTTTGATTGGTCAATTGTAGTAGTTTAGTTATTAAAATGGCATTTAATGTTTCTTAACAATTTAAAACTAGTTCATGGTAATAGGGATGGTTGGTTTACCTGAGTAGATGTGTTTAGTTACATAATAAAATAATAATGTAATTGTTTATTTAACCCTCTACTGCACGCATTATTATAGATCTGAAAAACATGCTTTTCTTTTCTTAGAATGGCTTAACTTTAAGTGCTGTAAAAAAGAAATTTGGAAAACATTTTTTAAGGTACTTTATGTTATGTCGCCATATGGCAACAACATCCAACAGTGGATCTAACTTAAAAATTTCAAATTTAGAAATTTCCTTATAATCAATAATTGTGTTGTTTGAAATGATTTAAAGGGCACCTATGGTGAAAAATCTACTTTTCAAGCTGTTCGGACAGACATGTGTAGATATAGTGTTTAGACCATCACATTGGGGTGATATAAACACACCCAGTCCTTTTTTTAATTTAACAACATGAAAACAGTGGACCAATTGGAGCGGTTTTCAGACTGACCGCAACTTGACTTAGGAGTGCGGTCCCCCCGCCAACCGAATTGATTGACAGCTGCGTGCATTTACATGTCCTGGTAGTCACGTGTATAACCATGTCAACAAGACCAGACGTGCGCAAAGCAACCGGGAATAAAAGGTCTGTTCAGTTTGCTAGGATCATCAATCATCATCAAATGTGATCAAGAGTAAGTTTCAAATGTTTCAAATGTTTTAAAACAGTGCACGTGTGTAATGAAGTACAACGATTTACTTCAGCTTTACTTCATCAGCACAGCTGCGTGTCAGTACAATTATAAAGGAAGACGTGTCAATCCCGGTTTGTGGATGTTAAATCGGGTTTATTTTGTACATTATCATAACAGATATCCACACAGCAGTGGAGATTAGCCTGTATTCTGTCACATTTGCGTGCAAAAACTGTGCAAAGCTAAGCGTGCTCTGTCTGTCTGTCCGTCTGTGTGTGTGTGTCTGCTGCAGTGTGTGTGTGCACGCGTGAACTTTGTAACAATATTTCGTGTGACTCATCAAAGCAACTGCACAACAAATAATCATTGGTAAAGCTCTTACTGTAGTATTTCTCACAAACGCTACGTTAGACCTTCTTGCTTTAAGTCTGTCTGTTGTCTGACGGAGCCGAGGGAGAAGATTAAGGAAGGCACGTAGAAACAGTAGGCGGGGAGTACTCGCCTTAAAGCGCAGTACGACAAAACGACCCCCTGGTGGAAAAATGTATAAAACATGATCTTGTAAAAGGCATAATGAAAAACCTGATAGGTGTTTTGAGCAGAAACTTTACATACACATTCTAGAGACGCAAAACAGTTATATTAAATCTGGAAAAAAATTATACATACTTTCCAACAACTCATATTCCAAAAGCTTTTATTTATTCTATTCTTTTTTGCTGAATATTCTTAAAAACAAACATAATTATCAAACATAATTATGTATTATCATGTATACAGCATACAGTAAATATAAATATTTTCTTCAGTTAATATTATAACAAAGAAGTAATAAGTCTAATATATCCAGGTGCATCAGAATAATGTAGCTACTAGCTAACAATGTTAATACATTATACTATATACTATACTACACCTGTCTTATATGCCTCTAAGCTAACTTACCTAAACTGTCTCAATCACTGCTCTTATCAAATGTCCAATCTGCATCATTCTCATGATCACTAAAACCCATTTCATCCTTACTTTCAACTGCAGGAAGAGCCAGTTCTGTCCTTTTCTTCTTTCACTTACCATAGAACATGGCGGTCCATACTAACACACTGTTCCCTGTATTCATATTTATTCAAAAGTAGTATTGCCATTAAAATGAGATTTTATTCATAATTCAAATGGCATTAACATATGACTAATCAACATTTTATACTAGCATTCATGTTGTTATTGTTGCAACTTAAAAGATCACAGCTGACCTTGCTAGCTATCTAATCTATTGCAATATTGCACATTCCACTATTGCACAGTGTTGCCATTTGGCAACACATACATTTGATCAATTTACAAAAAAACTAAATTTTTAGAAACTTTTTGGAGTTGTGAATATGTCATCAAAACTTACTGGAGGTGATGTCTAAGATTTTTTTGTGGATCTGACATAATTTGATCCTAATCTGTTTTTATTGACGTTTACATTTGCATTCAGCAATTACTCAAAATAAACGCTAGTTTGTCAGAAATCATGCCACAGAAAAACACTGCATGTCATGTGACTTAACCAAAGCACATCATTGGCTAATCTAAGGTCTACTCTTTTCAACAAAAAATTTGAACGTTGGTCTTAAAGAAACAGTGGCAGGGAAATTAACATTAATATCATTTTGCCATATGGCAACACCATGCAGTAAAGAGTTAATTATTTTCTTATTGCCATGCTAGCATCTATGGCTCTATTTAGCGCCATAACCAGTTAATGTGTACATAAGACTTTGTTATACACAAATATTTCTCCCACACAAGAAATGTAAATAATATTAATGTATGTACTTTTTTATAATGTTGTAATAATACTATATTCATATAATCTAATAAATTCAACTAAGATAACTTTAAAGGCACCTATTTTGAGAGGGGTCTGGATGCAGACCTGGTGCTGTGCAATCTGAGCTGCATCCAGTGCTTTTTAATGGGCTCATAAACCCCACCCCTAACCCCACCCCTCATAGTGACATCACTCGCTCCATTTTAGTTTTATTGTGTCTGACATTGCATCGCTGAGTGATGAAATCTCAGCTTGCATTATTAAGGCTGCATCCAGTTTCTATTGCTTATTTTACCCCTTTTTCAAGATTTAAGATAAGTTTTTTTGTGTCTCCAGAATCTGTCTGTAAAGTTTCAGCTCAAAACACCCATCAGATCATTTATTAAATCTGCTCTGAACACATTGTAGCTGTTTTTGTTGCCTGTGCTTTTAATGAAAATGAGCTAGTTTTCCCCGCTCACTGTTCCCACATGCCTACCAGAGTGTGTCCATCTTCTGCTGTGGCAGATAAACAGCACAGTAACAAATATGAAGGAAGCATATCTCACGTAAAGTTTGTGAGAAATCCTACAGTAAAAACGTTTCCAATGATTATTTGATGTATTTGTTCTGGCGTTGAGTCAAGCCTTTATGCAACGATGAGTCACACAATGTCGTTACAAGGTTTAAGCATTGTCCTGACACAATGCAGATGTGGTAATAAATTATGTACAGTAGCTATTTTACGTATGTTTTTATTACAAACATTCACTGTTTTAAAAATGTTTTAAACTTGTAATTCTTGGTCACATTTGAAGATGAATGGTGATCACAGTGAGCTGAACAGATCTTTAAATCCCGGTATCTTTACGTGCATTGCTTTTGTCTTGTTGATATGATTATACACATTAGAACGGAAACATGGAAACAATACGCAACTGTCAATCAACTACACTCCTATGTCACATTGCAGTGGGCCTCAAAAAGTATTTAGACCCTAATTTAATGCCAGGAAATTTTATAAAGAGACTTGTTGTGTTTCTATCACCCCAATATGACTGTGGACACACTGACTATACCTATGCACAGTTCTGTCCAAACAGCTTCCAAAAGATGATTTTTCATCATAGATGCCCCTTAAATAATAATATATCAGATTATGAGTCAACATTTTAATGGTGAAGTAATATCATATTTTAGGTTAAACAATAAACAAAAGTATATTTTCAGCAATGAACTAGCATTTTTTTTAATCAAAAGTAACTTCTGCTTAAAGGGATAGTTCACACAAGAAACATTATTTACTCACATTCAAGTAGTTTCAAACCTGTTGAACACAAAAGAAGTTATTAGTAAAAAAAATGTTTGATACAAATGATGACATAATTTTCAGTTTTGGGTCAACGATTTCTTTAAAAGCAGTCATTTGTAAACTTTCCCAATGAGTTGACCATTTAATTCTCCTCATTCAGCTTTCATGTGCATAATATGTCACAGGAATGTTGGTACCATGATAAGCAATTGATAGGCACACTTACGGTAAACATGTATTTCATTTAACTCTGCAACCATGTACTTATCTTTCATTTAGCACAAAATAGTATGAAGCAAATTCCTTAAATCCTTGTACAAAACCCTTTACATTAGGGATCACCAAAATTGTTCCTGGAGGTCCGGTGTTCTGCAGATTTTAGCTCCAACCCAAATCAAACACACCTGAACAAGCTAATCAAGGTCTTACTAGGTATGCTTGAAACACCTAGGCAGGTGTATTGAGGCAAGTTGGAGCTAAACCCTGCAGGTCACCAGACCTTCAGGAACAAGATTGGTGACCCCTGCTGTGCATAATAAAAGTCTTTAAACTTGTATTTTATTATTATTATCATTTGTAAGTGTGTGTACAGTTAATTAAATACCTTCAACAATTTTAACAATAAGACGACGCAGTGGCGCAGTAGGTAGTGCTGTCGCCTCATAGCAAGAAGGTAGCTGGTTCGAGCCTCGGCTGGGTCAGTTGGTGTTTCTGTGTGGAGTTTGCATGTTCTCCCTGTGTTCGCGTGGGTGTCCTCTGGGTGCTACGTTTCCCCCACAGTCCAAAGACATGTGATACAGATGAATTGGATAAGCTAAATTGTCCGTAGTGTATGAATGTGAATGAGTGTGTATGGATGGGTTTCCCAGAGATGGTTTGCAGCTGGAAGGGCATTCGCTGCGTAAAACATGTGCTGGGTATGTTGGCGGTTCATTCCACTGTGGCGACCCTGGATTAATAAAAGGACTAAGCCGAAAAGAAAATGAAGGAATAAATGAATTTTAACAATGGCCTTTTAAGCAAAATGTGCATAAAATTAGTAGTTAGTATTATTACTTGGGCTCTCTTAATAATAATAAAAAAATCCTAAATTTTGTTTTGTGTATCAATGAAAGTTTTAAGTGTGGTGTACAGTATTGAAAGGATTTAAATCTTTGGGTGAACAAAATGTAATTGTAAAATGTGATCAAAGTACTCTGTTTAGTGCAACTCTTTGTATAAAAAGTCACAGATTTTTTTTGTATAAATCACAGGGCTTTCAAAAAGACCAGACACCAACCAAGAGCCAGAGTGCTGTGATGTGCGATGGGACCAGATGTCCAACAACCTTTCCCGCGGCACTTTAAAAAGAACTCAACCTTCCTGCCAGCACACATCCGTGACCTCTTCGGGGGCTCCACGGCTTGGACACAGCCGGCTAAAGCTTTGCTTGCTGGTCCTAGTTCTTCTTCACACTGTGGCTACCATGACGGCCAATCAGAACTCAACCTGCCTGACCACCATCTTTCCATTGGATGACAATGCCCCCAGAGAAGAGTGATTGGACAAGGCTGGGCTGTACAGGCAAATCTGCACTCTCCAATAGATCTCGCATTGGGCTTGTCAAAAAGAAGCCCCTTACTCAGAGAGAAGCTGAGTGTATTGGGTCTATGTGAGCTAACGATCTCAACAAGACAACACTTACAGTAACAGGACTTGTCATCAGCACCTTGTGGGGTTTAGGAAAAAAGCGAACAGAACACAGGAGTAGCAGAGGACAAAAGATGAGCATAATATGAATAGTCAGTCCCAACAGAGACTTCTCACTCTCTCCTGAAATGCACACACTCACACACACAGTCAAAATGCCATTTCACTTTGCACTAGGAGATTATCTAACTTTCCCTTTTTAGTTTCAGCTGTTATTTTCATTTCAAGATGGTTTACAATTCTGTTCAGTGGTTTCAGAGCAACCTGGAATATAACATTTGGGGTCGATTGACCAGTCAAATTATACCTTTATATGTTGCGTGCCAGATTTGGTTTCCTTTTGAGAGTGAGCATCCCATTAAAAAGTTATGAGCACACGTCAAAACACATTTTCTAATACATCCATTATTTAAAATCCAACAATTGAGTTTTCAAACTTGATCTACTCAAATACCAATATCAGCCGGCCCTCACAATTAAGCCTCATTTCTGTTAAAAAAAGACTAATTAGTCTGAAAATGACAACCTTACATTTAAACTTAATTCAAGTCAAAAATATAATACAAAATTGCTGACTCAATCTCAGTTCAATTATCTATATCACCAGTGCTACACTGGATGGCTCAATTTTGTTTTAACTGTTGTTAAGTCATTTTGATTCTTCATCTCAAAATAGTATGCTGAAAATGGTTTGTTGCTGTTTTCTGTAAACTATAGAATAAATATAAATATCCATATATAAAGCTATGAAGTTATAATGACACAATTCCATTTGTTTTGAGGTCTTTGAACATGGCCTACTGAAAGGTGATTTGGGTCTCATTTAAACACACATACTGTAGTATCAAACCAAATCAACTGGGCCTTGGCACACAACTGTAAAGATTGAGGATGGTACATATTGTCATATAGTTTATTGTGCACTTTATTCATTTAATAACGCACTGAAAACACATCAGTCGTTCTGCATTATTGACATCACAGATGTTCTGTGAAAACAACCCTTCAAGCAGCAAAAATGTCATCATAGGCTCATTCTGAAAATGTCGCCTATGTACATTTCTGGAGATCACCAATTATGTAGCTAGAGCTACATTTGGCAGCATTTCATTTTTAAAATGAACACTACTGTGGGGTGGTATGATACCATTCCTTTTTGCGCTTACCAGCTCACTGCTTGAATCGACAGACTTTAGTTGCAGAGAGTAGTTCAGCACGAGGACGGAGTACAAATCAGGTGAAGAATGGTTCCACAAAGCATGTAAGACAAAAACTAAATCCAAAAAATAAAATAAAAAAGTTAATAACAGGGTAAGAATGTGGTAAAATCTGAAAATGTGGTAAAAATCAGACTTTTTTCAGACAGAATTTTCTTTTTTTTTTGGATAGCTTTTGAAAAATGTTGGTTGGGTTTACGAAAGTGGGTGGACACATCAATAAATGCATTTGGTTAGGTTTAGGAAAGGGGAAGGGTGGGTCAGTTGATCAGTCAGTCAGTCAGTCAACTGCGGCCTCTGGTGGGTTTATGCGAGAACAGCAGGCATGAATGGCACTCAAATTGAGATTAATTTAGATTGAGAAAGGATAAATTTGAGATCTCAAAAAGGCATGGATGGCATTCAAATTGAGGATAATTGAGATTGAGAATGGATAAATTTGAGATCTTAAAAAGCTGACACAGCAGCCTCTGGTGGAGTTGTGAAAATAAAAACTGCAAAAAAACCAAAACAAAAAAAAAAAAACCACGTAAATAAAAAACGTAGCTTCTGGGACATATTTGGGGCTCTCCAGAAATGTATATAGAGGTACATTTTCAGTATGAGTGAGTTGCAAAATATTGATATTTTTGGTTCATTGCATGGCACAATCTAAATGCATTCAAATGCATTTAACATGCTTGTATGTGAGGCTGATCTCAGTTAGGTTGACCGCTAAGTTCATGCGCAAACAGAATTGAAACAGCTGAACAGAATGTGCTGTTCCATCATACGCAATGACACTGTAATTTTACCATCATTTCCCATTCCAAAATAACTATCTATTGTGTAAAGGGCTTAGCAAATAGTAGAGTATCGAGAAGGAGTTAAGGGCTTACTCTAAATTTCTCCTTCTGTCTTCAGTGTTTGACTGTAATGGCTAATAGGGATTATGTGTTGTTTTGCCTTTGTCTGGAACTTTTTTTTCCTGATTATCCTCGTGTACACCTGTGCATCGACACATTCCTTTGGTCATGTTTTACTTGTGTGCTTACCGAGTAAATTCACCAGTGTTAAATGTATTTTTGTTAAGTTAAATTTTAATTCTTTAAGAGCAGAGACATGCAGAGTGGCCAGTGATATTGACCCAACTGGACAATTGTTTGTTACCCAGTAAATGCCTCTATTAAAATTAAACTATGTGTAGATTAATGTCTATATTTTTTCATAAATTGTATTTTGTTAATTTTGTAAAATGGGTTATTAATAATAATAATAATAAAATCATATGTCATGAGATGATAAGAATAAATCCTGGCTTGGAATACTATTTGTTTTGAGCTAATGCCCAGAAAACCATTTCTGTTTGTCTCTACTTTAAGAGTAAATTTAACTGTGCTGGTGATTAAATGCTCTTGGTTTTACTCTAGAACGTATTTGTCAGTGTTATTAAGTTGTTTTTGAGAACTGTCTGTTTATTCCACATAATCGTTTTTTGTTTTCAGCATTGTCCTGAATTATGGCCTTTATCCACTGTTTTCACCATCAAATGATGTACTGTGCTAACTTAAAGGATGTCAGTTTTCCATGGATGGTTTTGTTACATTGTGATGATCATTTAATGGAAATATTATGCCTTCACCCAGTGTAATAGATATTCACCAGTGTATGATGCCAAAGTTTTCAATAACTTGTTTTCTTTCTTTCTTTCTTTCTTTCTTTCTTTCTTTCTAATTTTGTTTCTTTCGTCTTTTTCACTCGAGCGATAAAAACACAACCACCTGGCACCAGATTTTCTCAGTATGATAGCATAATAACACAACATCTATCACACTAAGTGAAGGCAGTTTCAGCTCCTAAATTATCATTGTTTTTATACTGTTATGCAAAGGCAATGCACAGCAACAGAAATGAATAAAACTTTCAGATGTAACTGAGCATACGTTTATTGACAAAAAAAGAGTTTGAATTTATATCACATCCATTAAAATTATTGTGTTTTTTCATTCTAAGTTGCTGTATTTTTTGTGTTTTACCTTTGTGTGGCAATATACAATAAGACTATAAAATTAAAATAAAACGATCAGATTAAGATTGATTACAGATTATCAAGAGACAATAAAAAGTATGAATGTTAATCTTGGAAAAGCTGCATAATACATATTGTAATCCATCTGATGCTAACCTGTTTGAGAATTGTCTTTCATTTTCAAATTTTCATTTTACAAAATGTATTGTCAGAAACCATACTGTATTCACCGTAATGTCAAAAACTTCTCATGTGTAACCTGTCTATATCAGTTATACATTTTAAAGGACTGGTTCCACAGGGTATTTTATCAGTTGAAATCTATTGTCATATACCATACCCAGTCCTCATCTGTCAAATTGCTCTGCATTTTATATAGATTGAAAGGTTTATTTGAATGTATCCTGTCCTTTTTTGAGGTTTCTATGTGCTTTTGTTATTGTTTCTGATGTTCAGACATCTTCATTTATCACATTTAAACAATTTTAATCACTGTTCAACACTCATGAAATGTTTGACTTACTCAGATCAATGCTCTCCTCTGGAAAAGGTTGCAAATGAGCTTCAGCACTAGCAAAGAAATGGACAGTCTATAGAAATAACAGTTAATATTACAGTGTCATATTGTCATACAATAGATGCTTAAGTTCAACTGTTGTCTTTGATTTTTTTTACACAAAGACTTTGATTAATATTTATAAAGCAGTCTCACTGGTCAACACCTTTTTTGAAGGTAAGATGAAAATACAGCTACATTTATTAAAGTTCTGTTCTAAGGGAAAATAAATAGAGATATAAACATTTCAATCTGTGGTCTGTTTTTTATTGTCACTTATTGTATTCATTTGTCTTTATTTTTTGTTATGGAACCTGTGTTTTAAATGCTGTCTTTTGTAGAGTACATTCTCACGATAAAAGAAATCATGATAATGCTTATAATAAGTGTTAAAAACACTAGGGGTATTAGCTAATTTCTAAGCTTAAAATTGACATATTTGTTATGATGATGATGATTATTATTATGATTATTATTATTAATAAGAAAAAAATAACATTTTCTTATTTTAATTATATCGTTTGTTTAATTGTTTGAAAACCCTGAATATATGAGAAATATCCTTATTTCTTAATATTTTACTAGTTTACATGAAATCACAATTTAAAAACATTTATTCATTCATTTTCCTTTGAATTAGTCCCTTATTTATCCAGCATATGTTTTACACAGCAGATGCCTTACTGCCATAACCCAGTACTGGCCAATTTAGTTTATCCAATTCACTTATGCTGCATGTCTTAATTTGGACTGTGTGGGAAACCGGAGCACCAGGAGGAAACCCACGCCAACACTGGCAGAACAGGCAAATTTCAAACAGAAATGTTTTCTGCCCCAGCAGGGACTCGAACCAGCGACCCTCTTGCTCTGAGGCGACAGTTCCAACCTGCCACCATGCCGTCCTTTAAAAACATAATAATAATAATGACAATAATGATAATACTAATAATGATCTGCAATATATTTTGAACCAGGTACACTGTATTTTACAGAAGTGCTAAGAGGCCATGCATTACAATATGTCTCTTGTTTTCTTGAAATCACAACTTAATTATCTGATGATCTCGACAAAACAATTTAATTTTCTCGTTAATATCGACATAACAGCTGTTATGTTGTGATCACGGTTTAATTTTCTCGTGATCTCGACCTAACAAAAAGTTGTTGTCATGATCACAAACTTTTATTGTCTCGCGACTTTAATTGTCTCGCACAACTTTAATTGTCTCGCGAAACTTTAATTGTCTTGCGGACTTCCATAAAAACATTATCATCGATGTAGCCTAAATGTATCCCGACAAAACCTTGTGTGCTGTTTTTGCGATTTAAGTCATCAAGTTTTAAATCATACATCAAGATGGACTTTATTTCTGCACTAAGAGAGAGGGGTGTACATTGGGAGAACCTGACTAAAATGAAAGAAGATAAGGTAGGTCTAATCTTACCAACATGCTTTTTCAAGTCTGGTTTTATTGTTATTTAAAATGTG